TTCATGTTACAATTTGAAGTCATTCTAGAAAGAAAGTAATGGTTAATTTTGGTTTATTTCGATTTTTTTTGTGGTTACTAGGTCGGTCCAATTGACCGATCCCGTTTTGAGATAGGGTAGAGAAAATAACAGATGAACTATAAAGTTTTACTGAAGAAACGTTTGAAATGCATTTAGGAGGTTTTAAGAATTGCACAAAGGAAATTTGAGACGAGGAAAAGTATTTTTTATTTTAATATTAAATTACTTTGCACATGGACTATTCAAAACAAATACTCAATGTATTCATTGACAAATCTTTATTTTATTTTATTAAAAATATTTCACTAAAAACGTGATTTTTTATATGTGAAAGACTTGTAATATGAACTGAAAGTTTGGCAAATTTGTGAAGATATACACACTATATTGAAAGTTAGAAGTATTAAATCTATAAAGACTTTAATCGAGTAAAAAAGGGTCGTGTGGTCGGTCAAATTGACCATGCCTGTGTTGAGAGAGTTATTGCAGCATTGTGATTTTGGCTTTGGCTTAAAATCATATACAAATTCCATTTAAACTTTACCAAAGAGAAAACTCTCACATATCTATAAATAGATATAAAACCTTTAGCAACATCCTTAAGTACACTTAATATTAAAATCAAATAACATTCTCAAGTTCCCAAATAGACATAATTTTGACTTCAGGGGTCAGCACCTGTCCAGAGTAGCATATGGTCGATTATATTCAGCTGGGTTTCCCGTAATCCGAGATCGTCATGGACGCACACCAAATGTGCTAAATCCTGTGGAACCAGTTTCAGTAAACCTTAAAAAAGAAGAAGTGGACATTTTGAGATGTAACGAGATCATTTTCCAGTTCCTAGCTTATTCTAAGTAAGTCATAGTTGATTTTAATTTCAAAGTTATAGAAAATCACATACTGTATTGTACTTTGTTCTACAAATGAACAAAATATTCATAACACATGTAAAAAGAAGAGATAATTAACTTTATAAGTGTTAGAAATATTAAAAGTACTGTGGTTAATGTGTGTGTCTGGTTAAACATTGAACTTTTTACTAATTTTATGTTTGTCTGTTGTTTTATGAATCTCGACAAGACAGTTATTAACTTGTGGTTATTGTATGTCTGGTTAAACAATGAACTTTTTACTCATTTTATGTTTGTCTGTTGACTTATGAATCTCGACAAGACAGTTATTTACCTGTAAATTGGTGTGTCTAGTTAAACATTGTACTTGTTACTCGTTTTAAGTTTGTCTGTTGACTTATGAATCTCAACAAGACTGTTCATTTATTAACCTCAACAAATTGCTGTTAATCTCATCATACTGTTAAATTACTAATTACAACAAGACTGTGAAATTATTAACCTCAACATACTGTTAACTTATTAACCTTAACATAGTGTTACCTTTTTAATTCTTACAAGACTGTTAAGTTATTAACTAATAATGTATTAACCTCTACAAACTGTTTACCTACTGATTTTAACATACTGTTAATTTATTAACTCCAATAAGACAACTTGTTAACATGTACAAAGTGTTAATGCATTAACCTCTACAAGACTGTGATACCTATTAACCTCAACATGACATTAATTAGTATTTTTTCATTGGTTATACATTCAATTATCATGTTTCATCCATAGTTGTGCCAGAAAAGCTCTTCATACGATATTCTTTACATTCCAATTTTACCGTTTCCCACCAACAAAAACAGAAAGGTACTGTAAGTTTTATACTCTTCTTATTTATAAGTTTTATAAAAAATAAACTATTTCAGTGGTAATTAGAAATATATTCTTATATTAATGAAGAATTGATGTTGCTGTATTAAACTCAGCCAACTTTGTATAATATTGTAATAATGTGATTAAAATATAACTTGTAACTTCCTTGTTCATTAAATTTTTGTATTAACACTGTTCAGGTTGAACACTTACCACATGCAGTTTTTGATCAATTTTTTGTTTTGCCAAGAGTAAAATACTTTCTGTTCATCATTGTGACTTATGGCAAAATATCAATCAAATTAGTACAGAGGTGGCTAAACATTCATACAAAATGTTTCATATAATGTACACCTGTGTCATAATTATAATATACAAGCATAAGTTACATCAGTATAAATACCATGCTAGACAAATCAGGAAAGACAAACAGTTAAAAAAGTCTTAGTATAAATACCACGCTAGACAAATCAGGAAAAGCAAACAGTTATAAAGTCTTAGTATAAATACCATGCAAGACAAATCAGGAAATACAAACAGTAATAGTCTAAGGATAAATGCCATGATGAACAAATCAGGTAAAACAAATAGTAATAAAATCTTAGTATAAATGCCACGATGAACAAATCAGGTAAAACAAACAGTAATAAAATCTTAGTATAAATGCCATGTTAGACAAATCTACAAAGACAAACAATAATAAGGTCTTAGTATAAATTCGAATATGTATTTGAAAAACATGTTAATGTTTATCTTAGAAACATTTCTGAAACTGACACTGCATATGTGATATGCTAATTTTGGCTTCTGCCATTTTTCTTTCAATAGCCAATCTGGATACTGACTTTCCAGGTTCAAAGCTGAACAGTGTGATTAACATTTATTCTTTAGCTAACTTGTAAACTAAACTATTATTATAACATAATTATCAGATCACCTATAACTTGCTGACACACTTGTAGCTTTATTGAGTAAATGTGAGAGTGCAAGTGCAGTTAATGCTTATTATCTTATCTTTTACTAGGTTCTGATAGACTCACTTACAGGTTTGATAACTAGTCTTTTTGAACAATGCTATGTATAGTTTTCCGGGTGTTATCTCTCATTATGATCATGTTATTCAGAGTGTTAGCTCTATCACAAAAAGATTAGTTATCAAACTTGGAAATATCCGAATAACATGTTCATAACTATACATAGCATTATTTTTGCCAGAGTGTTATCACTTTCATTATGAACATGTTATTCGGATGTTTCCAGGTTTAATAACTAATCTTTTTTAATAATGCTATGTATAGTTTGCCAGAGTGTTAACACTTTCATTATGAACATGTTAATTGGATATTTCCAGGTTTGATAACTAGTCTTTTTTAATAATGCTATGTATAGTTTGCCAGAGTGTTATCTCTATCATTATGAACATGTTATTCGGATGTTTCCTGAACTTATTAGCTCTTGCGTCTTTGCAAAACGAATTTCTCAGTTTTTCTGGTACTTGCTTCAGTAATTTGTTAGCTGTTGGTTCTTGATGAATATTTTTCTCAGTTATCAAGTGTATAATTTTAGTTTTGGAATCACGTGAGCTCTCTTACAGGCTTTTGCTGGAACAACATGAGCCACTAAAAAGCACAGAGTCGACATCTCTTCCATATATTCTTTTTCCCATGCAGTCACCAGGAGTAAAGAGGGAAGGACCACCTGGGTATGAGGTTGGTATGGATTAATTTCTAATTAGAGGCTGTTCTATATTAATGTTAATTGTTTGTAGAAAATGACCAAGATATATATATATATTTATTATACAATAACTAATTTTCTGTAAATAATACAGATTATATTACTTAGCCTGATATCAAATATTTATTATACAACAGTCAATCTGTTGTTAAGAATATGGATCATATTAGTTAGGTCCGTTGATGGGAGAATGGTAAGGTGGATACAGAAGATATCCTGTTGTGGCTTTGCTCTAAAAAATAAACAAATGAACAATATATTACTTAGCCTGGTATCAAGTGTTGATTATATAGTGGTTCATCCTTATTAAAGAATTAACTATTATATAATAGTACTGTATTGATTATATAGTGATTCATCCTTATTAAAAAATTAACTATTAAATAATAGTTCTGTATTGATTATATAGTGGTTCATCCTTATTAAAAAATTAACTATTAAATAATAGTTCTGTATTGATTATATAGTGGTTCATCCTTATTAAAGAATTAACTATTATATAATAGTACTGGTATTGATTATATAATGGTTCATCCTTATTAAAGAATTAACTATTATATAATAGTAC